GGAAGGTTTTGAAGTCAGCTTGGATTTATTTTTGTTTGCCAAAGCAAACACATCAGGGCAGGTGTCACACTCATTACATGTAGTAAGAACTCTGGCAGTTGCATTTTGGACCAAATAATGACTTATTGTTGCTGTCATGGGTTGACCAAAGAAAAACTCATTGCTGTAATCCACTCTGGATGTTATAAAAGTATGTCAGAGGATATTAGTGTCTGAATTGGATAAAAGGGAATGGATCTTTGCTGTATTAAATAAATAAAAACAAAAAAAGATTTTCTGAAATTCTTGACATGTGACAAAATTATGAAAAAGATTAAAGACCATTCTCAAATTTTTAACTGTACGGCTCTGACGTATTATGCAGCCATCAAAATTTATGGAAACATCAATTAAACTGATCTCTGTAAAATAGAATGTGGGAAGTTTTTACACACCACTGGAAGCTACAGTAGATGTGTGTGTCCTTGGCATAGTAATGCTGTGGTTTTTAAAAGATGTGACCAAGTGGCAGCATGTGAGCAAAAGACTCAAAGAGGTCCAAATACTGATTGCTGTGGAAATCTGTATTTGACCTTAGAACAGGATGATACAGTTTTATTGTAAACAGCATGTTGTGGTTCTGTCACTCAGTCTGTTTATTAATTCATTATTAGCTCAGGAGCTGCATAAGCACCCTGTTTGGACTGTTGGCATTGGTAGACAGAGTTATAGATGACACAATATGTCATCTAACATAATTCATTTTGTTCCAGTGAAGCCGAATACTCAGAGGAAGAACACATCTAAAATACTGCAAAGTAAATTATGAGTACTAAAAGGCAGGTGATGGCTTGTGTCCCATGGGAGAGAATAAAGCATCCTGAAACACACACACACACACACACACACACACACACACACACACACACACACACGCACACACACACATATTGGCTTTTATCCTGTGAATGAGCCAGCCAGCCAAAGTCATCTGGAAGCTTCCACATGCCAATGAATAAATAAAGCTGTAATTAGTAAAGAAAACAGCGCCACCTGTTGGTGTCCCACCCCTGTGAACTCAGACCATTATAGGGTGCTGTGGGAAACACCTGAGCCTGCAAAGGCTGTATGTTAAAGGGTTGGCACACATGCACGATGTGTGTGCGGGTGTGAGAGGGATGAAGTTTTTTTCATGAGGGCCACCCGTGTAACCATGTGTGTTGTATGGCTTCCATTTGTAAAGAGGCTTACTGAGCATATGTGTTGGTATTGTGAGAGAGTGTGTGTGTTTGTGTGCTCCTCCGTGTACTTGTGTGTATGTGAAGGGGTCCAACTGCGTGTCCTGGGGCCCACCTGGCAGCACTGTGCAGATTCTGGGGCCTGAGCAGCTGGCCTGGGGGCTGGTGAGGGTGTTCGGAGGGGGGAGGTTTGAGAGGGGTGCGGGGGGTCTTCCATGGCCCCTGTCCCACCAGACCCAGACAGTAGGAGGCAGATGGACAGGCCACAGCCACTGCCAGAGGGCCAGAGGGGCCACGGGGCCGAGGGAGAGGACCAGCCAAGACCAACTGAGCTCGCTCACACACAAAAAGAAAACACACACATACACACACAGTAACAGATGAAATACATGTGTAACACAAAACTCACTGAATTTACATTGGTTTTTAGATACTAATTATATCATTCCTCCCATATTTTCTTAACTGCAAAATGTTACATGATATACACAGAGAGGTATTCACCTTAGTTTGCAAGCAGTAACAACAGAGGAGAAGAACAGGGATAAAACTATGTAGTTGTGTTGTTTAAGATCTGTGGTGTGCAGTGCATTGCATGAGTTACGTTGTAATTTACATTTTTAGTTGCTCCACCAACCCTTAATGCATAATTTCATTTTATTACAAGCTGGATCTTATTTTTATAGGTTTGGCCATCATTTATATCGACTATGATAACTTTGTGTTAACCAAAGTAATTGCTGAGATCTGGGAACGCAGCAGTTTGACAGGCTAAGAAACACAAGTAGTCTGACAAATCAAGCCAATCTCTTTTGGTAGAGAAAATGAAAACTAATAAAAATTATCACCCAAACTGTCTGTAGTAAACAACCATCACAGTTTACAGAGTGATTCCTGGTTCAGCTTTGACCCAGTGTGCTTGCTGTAGTTGTGTGTGCAGACTGTTCCTATGCAGTGAGTGATTATTAGAGACATTTTTAGTGTACTTCCTTACTTTTAGTCTCACTTTCAAACAAAGTAGGAGTAAGTGTCTGAGTCTCAATGTAACTGTGATTCCAGATCTTAGCAGTTATTTTTTTAGTACCATGTTTACATAACTGATAGAAATGATGTCCAAACCTATGAAATTAAGATCCAAGTAGTATCAGATTGACTTTGTTCTTGAAAAAGTTTCCACGCTCTTTGAAACTGGCCAAAAAATGACGAGGAACATAAAGAGTACAAGCTGCAGATTATTTGTAAAGTGCAGCTAAATGGTATCAGTTTCTCTTTAACAACTGATTTTCCCTATATAAGTTATAGTTTCAGTAAAAATTTCACAGAACTACTGCAAGATAGGAAGGTACTGAATGCAAAAAATAGCAATAAAACAAAAGATCAAAACATCTGCACACTTCTCTCTATAGCAAACATACAATTTATTTGTCTGCACAGCTCTTCATCAGAGCACTGGCGATGCCTGATTTCTCCCCTGTGTGAGCTCTGAAAGGTTTTGATTCACCTGGCACTGGAGCCAAATCCTGATGTTAGCCTATAAATTTTGCCAAGCTAGCGACATGGCTGTAGGGATGGCAGTACTGAACTGTCAGTTGGTTGGTAGGTCTACCACTTTGGTTCAATCTAAAATATCTCGAAAACTTTCTGATGAATTGCCACAAAATCTTTTGCAGTCATTCGTGGTCTCCTGAGGATGAATCGTATTGTCATTAGTTTGCCTCTGTCCTTTTCTCTAGCACCACCATGAGGCTGACATTTATGGTGAGTGAAATATCTCAACAACAGTTGGATGGATTGAGATGAAATTTGGTACAGCCATTTGTGTCCCCCACGAGATGAGTTGTAATCACTTTGATGATCTTGACATTTCGTCTAGCACCATAATCAGGTCAAAATTTCAGTTTGACCAATAGTCCGGTTTGGGATCAAATCAGCTTCAGCTGTAGTTTGTGTTTCATGTTGATTAGCAAATATTAAATTCTAAAGTGCTAAACTAAGATGGTGAAGATGTGTAACAGTATGGCTGCTAGGGCTGGGCAGTATATCAATATTATATTGATATTGTGATATGGTACTGTCACCGACTTTGGATATCATAATATCCTCAGTGAGGTGTTTTCCTGGGTATATACACATATATCCATATATATATACCCATATATATCTCATTGTGTAAATATATTGTATAAGCAGCAATAGTCAACCCTACAAATATGTTGCAATATCAATATTGAGGTCAAAAATATTATGATATTTGATTTTCTCCTTCACCCAGCCCTGATACCTGCTATACATCAGCATGTAGACACGTCACTGTCAACATGTTAACACACTGATATTAGCAATTTAGCTCATAGCCCCACTAAACAGTACAGTGGATGAATAACAGCACCACACAACAACAGCGAAAGCAGGTGTGTTACATTAAAAAGTTAGAACAGACTAGAAAATTAGTATTCAAGACTGCACTACTGTACGTGTATTTTTGAATGACACCCAGATGCTCATTCACATACATCCACCAACCATTAAGTGTCTTTTTAAACCTTCTAAAGCTGATCTTAAACATGCAATAGAAGATGTTTCCTGAAAACTATGACCAAAACAACAGCATACGGAGGACGGTTTTGAGCGCAGACAGTCACAGTGATTTGAAGAGAATTTGCAGAGAGTGTGTAGGATTGACACAGAGTTTATTGTGAACATGTACTATAGGTGGTGGTGGTGGTGTGGGAGGTAGCCACCGGCTCCAGTAGTCCAGAGAGCCACAGATGCTCCACTGTTTGTGTGTTGACTCTCTGTAATTTGTTTGCTCTAATTTGTTTTGCCGTGCCAGGGGAGTTCCGATTTTAATTTTGCTCTGTGTGTGTTTACCCCTCTTTGTGGATCGCTGATCTGTTAAGCATAGAGAGAGAGGGAGAGAGGGAGAGACAGTCAGTGCGGAGGGTGGGCTGTTCAGAGAGCCAAATTAAAAAAGGAGCAGTGCAGATTGTTTTAAGCTCTGGCAGCCCCTTCAGGCCCAAAGGCCTCGCTCGAAGCCTGCACCTGCTCCGTCCCCGGGGATCCTGGTTCCTGATCCGTGGCCCTCGCTTCTCCTCCCCGGGCCCCTAGCCCAGCCGCCTCCTCCTCTCCTCTCCTCTAATTCCTACTCCTATTTTTCTTGTCTGCTTTTTCTCCTCCCCATTGACTTTTCTCCTTTTCCTTCCCTTCTGCCGCCTCCATCCTCCTCCTCTTAAACTTCAACTCTCCATCTCTCCCCACGAAAAACTCCTGATGCTCCTTTCCTCTTTCCTCCTCCCCAGTGACTCCTATCTATCCTTTCACTCCTCAATGCTGGCCTTTTCACCCCTTCTCTCCTCTCCACCACCTGCTCCTCTCCTCCTCTTTATCCCTCCTTCTCCCGCTCCTGGTTACTTCCACGCTTTGTTGTGCCTCTTTGCCCTGGCTCAACTTCCTTCTATCCCCCTAAATTTTTTTTTCCTTGCAACTTTTCCTCTTCCAGTTCTTGCTCCTCTCTTCTTCTTGTCTCGCCTCCAGCAGCTGGCAGAGTCTTAATCAGCCCCCCTCCGCACCTGAATGATTGCAACTTGTTAGCCTGATTGAAAACACACAACCACACACACATAAAATACAGTCAGAGATATGACAAAATAACACAATCTGTGGGCTATTATGATTACGAAACTACAGTGCAGAGCTCAGTAAAGCAGCGTCATGACATCAACAGCATTTCATTAACCTGAGACACATAATACGGATGCAAATCAATCTCATAACAAACGTCTGTTTAAAATTGTCACAGCTAGTCTTTATTGAAATCATCCAGTCGCTCCAGTTTATGACTGCACATCCATAGGTAGTTTGATCAGTCAGTCAGCTCTACATACAGTATGGTACACTTTGTCACACGTACAATATTTACATTACCCCAGCAGTAATGCTATGACATGGTTTCCAATAACAAGACATTTAGTTTTTATATGGCTTGATTAAAGCAGTCCAACTGTATATGATGCCCAGGCTGGATGAGGTGACTGAAAAACACACATTTCAAGCCAGGTTGGGTCAGGATGTGAACCACAGGGCGACATGATGGAAGAAGGTTGTCTCCAGAGTCTGAGTATCTCGATCAAACTCTTGCCTTCTGTCACTAACTCTCCTATCCATTCAGGCTCCTCATTTAAAGGGTCACTTCACCCAAACTGTGAAACAACGTATCTTCACATATCTTCTCCAAGTGCTACATAACCACGCAGATAGTCTTGGTTTGTGTGTCCAGGTGTTCATATTAGTCTCTCAGATTTCCGTCAGATTTTGTTTTGTTGTCAAACATTTACATCTAGCAGACACGGAGCAACATTAGCATTCATGTGGAGCCGTGTTTCTGGCCATCTGATAGTAGTAGAATGTAGGTCCAATGTTCTGCACTGACTCCTGAGGGAAATCTCTGCCTCTCACGCAGCTGAATGCTCCACTATGGTCACCAACTAGTCACTAACTTTGTCTGTCGGCATTTGGAGCAGAGCAGATAGCATACAGTGGGGATTTTTATTTAATAAAACACCTGCCTGCTATGTTTAAAAATGATGCTGATGAGATCATTGAGAGTGAACCCACACAGTGAAACTGGGGGCTGTAAAACAGAAATACAGAGTCAGAATGAAATGAAATTTTGGAGTCACACACCAAAAGCAAAAGTCATAACTGAATTTATGGGATCCCATTATGCTGTTTAAGTATATAGGCTAGTTGAAAACTATGTCATTATGGAAAGTTGCATACTGATATACTTTGGTTTCTTATTTTACAGTTAATATTACTAATTATCTGATGTGCATGGACTGAAAACATACAGCTTTAATTTGAAGGAGTAGATTGTCCTCGTGGACTCGTGGGTACCAGCAGAACCCATTTTCATTCAGTTATCTTGACGTGAGAGTTTAAAGGACTCCTTGGAAAATTTCCATGCCAGTTGTTGCATTGCCAAAAAATTTGCCGCATTTTGGGGTGCTATTTAGCCCCTTTCCTGACTAGCTATGTCGACATGGTTGGTACCAATGTATGCTATAGTTTGTCTAGTTTCAAAAGATGCACATGCAACAGCCTCTTACAGACAGTAATGTTACCTCCAATTATTATTGCCAGGGGGCCAGTTGGTGAGCCAGGAATTGTGCCATGGCCCCCCCTTAGGAGTGCCACTGGTCAGAAGACACTAAAATGCTTCATAAGGCTGAGGGAATCTGCACTAGGATGATAATTCTCTGTGGATTCATCATTTCAAGCAACTCCTTTAACGTTACACATTGTCATTTGATCCTTTGTTAAAGAAGAAATACTGATTAGCTTTAAGTAAAGAAACTGTCCACAGACTTCATTGGGAACTTGGGCTTTTCACTTTTCATTCTAAATTCATTCTAAATTGTTTGAACGAGGGGAAACACATTTTAAATTAGACACCACAGATGGAAAAATCTTAACTGAAAGACTGTAAAACAACCTTACAGTAACATTAACCTGAGTCATTTAGGAACGCTGCTTGGAAATTCATGTGAATGATTCACATGTTAGTTATCTTTGCTTGAGCTGGATATTTTTGAAAATCTGACATACAAATTTTTATGGGAAGTTATTTCTGCCAAAGAAATCCAAAGTAACAGGAATTGATACATCGGAAATTGTTTTGGATACTTTGAGCACCACAAACAAAAATCCATACCCCTCTGTTGTATCAAGGCAGATGCAGAAATCACATTGACGCCTACATCTTAAAACCTTTAGGAATAAAACCAAAACTATCTGCATGGCTCAATGCCACAAGATTTAAGTGGGAAAGTTTTTCTAATTTGGGTGAACTGACCCTGAAACTTAAGTCACATCTACTCTATATGCACCACAATCTTTTTACAGCAATCATATTGCCATTACGAGCACTTCCACCAAGCTGAACGTGACAGACAAAAGCAAACACCTCCCGAGACATTTTGGTCCATTTTACACCCAAGATTTTTAAACTAGCGATGTTGAGTTTTGTTGATTTGGTATTCCGACTGTCTCTACAAAGACTTCATCAACTGCTTCACTGATGACATTCACACCCAGGAAAATTAACTTAACATAAGCAGCACGGTACCCTCGCATAACAATCATTATCAGAAGACTCAGCGTCCTGTACTACTGATATACACATTAATGTTTCCCATTCATTTGGCCTGTACTCTTCTCCACCTCCACAGCAGATTTCTCCCGTTGAAATAAGGTGAAAATAAATTTCCACTAGTGCAAAATAACATCTCTCTTTGAGAGCAATAAGAACACAAAGATTAACAAAAAAAATATATATTTGACACATAAGATCATATAGAAAGAATAACAAAGTGGCACTGATAATAAATTATATCACAACAAAAAGTGTTGCAGACTATTTTCACCCATTTCTTTAGTCTGAAAGAACTAAGGCTGATTTGTTGCTGTGCTCAGTCGCAGTATGCAAGTGTGACAGGTCACCTATGAATGGGAACCATAATATTAAAGTTTAGGACTGAAGAAGAAATTATTTGCTGTGTTTAATGGACTGCAGGTCCACTGGGTTGAATGACCTTGATGTTACAGAATAAAGGAGGCGTCAGGCTGACTGCTGCCTCCATCTAGTGGTCAAATATGTGAATTACAGCTTGTTACTAAAAGCAAAGAGGTATTAAAACCAGTGATTGAAAGCTCCAACTTCCCCATAACAAAGTGCAAGCAAATAATTACTAAATGGGGGGAAAGAAGGACAATAACCAGTGAATAAAACAGGCACAAATCTGCTCCTCTTTCCCTCTGAGTACATCTCGGCTTGTGGTCTTCAGATGGAGACATACATTATGTTTTGATATAGATTCTCCCCACATATAGTAGCATAAAGGAAATGACACAAGGATCAATCTAGAGCATGGACTGGCACTCGATGTCATCTGTGTTTCCTCTCCAGCACACGGATGGTTAACAGCCGAGACACGGCAGCTGTTACTTTCAGCCACACGATCAATCTCCACCTGTTCGAATGGGTTTGTGCGTTAAGACACATGGCAGAGTGGTGATTAGTTGCGTCGTTTCACAGCAAGTGAAGTGCCACCTGTCTTGTCTGCACTGCTCCTCTGTCGTTGCCGCGCTTTTCATGAGATGAGATGTTTCTTTTGTGTTAACCTTTCGCACCAGCTTTTGTATCTTAGGACAAGACAAATAAGGCAAAGAGAAACTGCCACTGGGACAGTTCTGATGTTACAGGAGGGGGCAAACCATACAGTAGCATGTGTGTTATGAGGTTCAGTTTGAATGCTCTGCATATTAATACCCAGTCTGTCCATCAGGAAGGTATATCGTTTAGAGGTGGAGGAGCTGGAATAGGTTCTTCAGCTGTGAGAGCTGCCATCTGGCAACCTGTCCAGACTGCCAGATTTTTCAAGCTAACCGACACAGTTCTCATCTCCTGTCAGTCTCAGTCGCATCCATTCTCAGGTCAAACCTCCAGGTCGGGCATTATATCCTCCTTAAGCTGAATGTCATTGTCAGATCCCGTGCCCACATCTGAGTCAAAGAGCGAGTGGTCAGAATCAGGGGAGTGTGTGTGCGTGTGTCCGGCTGAGTGGCAGCTGCCGTCGCTGTCGTCCAGAGTGTCAGTCCTGGAGAAGAGGCCAAAGTCCAGCAAGCCTGTAGGTGAACCGCTGCCGCCGCCGCTGCTCTCACTGTCTCCGTCAAAATAAATATCCTCCACCTCCACGAACCACTCGGGCCAGAACTTCCTCCGCATCCGCTCGCAGAACATTGCCAGGTTGATCAACTCTCCTGTAAAGACATCAGACATGACAAGTTCACATGAGCAAGCTTTTACAGGTTCTGTTAAACACAGCAGGAGGTAGCATTGGTGCTTAGTGACATCTTGAGTCTGATACAGATGATCACAATACATCTGACACATTTTGTCTTATCTCTTCATTATGAGTCCTTTTATCAGATATGATGTATCAATACGACAACATGGAACCTTCATTTGTCACATTACAAGCTCTGATTTTTCTTTCTAAAGGATAAGAGACTCATGTGTTCCCTACTCTGTGCAAGATGTGAAAGCAACAATCAAAGCCTGTGTCAGCAGCACTGCATTGCAGTGGGATATCACTGCCATCTAGTGGCTGGAATAGACAACTACATCTATGACAAACCAGCAAGGAAAACTGCAAATGACAGCACAAATAATGCTTATATACTGCAAAACAAGCTTGAACTAAAGAAACAGTATCTACAGTAAATACGCAATGATTTAATTCATTCATTCAGTTCATTATTAGAATATTCTGTTGCACTCATGTCTGAGTACTCCACAGATCCACTGACCTTTGATGAGTTGCTCTGGTCGTGTCCCAGGCAGAGTCCACATGGCCTGGGCAAGATGCCCAAACACTGTAGCATCTAATGTCGACATCTTAGAGCCCATGAAGTACTTCTTATCTCCTACAAGACAGAGAATATACAACAATTTGAAGTTTGGATGCAGAGACATTTTCTTTCTTTCTTTCTTTCTTTCTTTCTTTCCTATTTAAAATATTCTTGATTTGAAAAAAATATGTTCTCTTGTCAGTCTTCATTCTGATAAATATTAAAATAAACTTAAGGAGCCTGGGTGGTTTCGTACATGAATATACAGTATGAGTTTATTTACTGCAAGTAGTCTGATATCGAGACACTTTTGGCCCAGCGTGTGTGCATACCAAAAACTTAAAGGCCCAGTGGGGTTTAGTGAGATATTTTGGCAAGAATTGAATATAATATAATAAGTATGTTTTCTTTAGCATATAATCACCTGAAAATAAGAACTGTAGTCTTCTCAGTGTCTTAGAATGAGCCGTCTGAATCTAAATAGGGAGCAGATCCTTGTCTGGGTAGTTTGCCATGTTGCACCATCATGTTTTTCTACAGTAGCTTAGAATGGACAAACCAAGCTTTGGAAAAACACCAATTTTTAGCAATCTGTAGCTTTAATCTGTGTTTTCACCCTTTTAAATCACCAAATCCGTTTATTTTCAAGAGAAGGAGGAATATTTCAGCTCATGGTAAAAATTCTGAACATCTGGATCATAAATAAGGAGAGCACACATTGAGTTATCAGAGAAAAAAGGTGAGCACACAGTAGCAGGTGCTGGGCGAGCGGCCTGTCTGTGACATGCCAAACAGCAAAGAAGAAACACTGATTTGAATTGTGAAACTTCTTTACTCTGTGTTTTACTTGGCTTACATCACCTGGACTGTTTGTTTTGGAGAGGAAGGAACCACTGCAGATAATTCTGCTCCCCCTAAAAACCTCCTGTGACCAATGAACACTCAAGGAATTCTAATTGGGAGAAGTTTCAGCTGGTTGCAATCTGCAATCCTCACTGCTACAAGCCACTGAATCTTCCTAAATTTTACACACTGGACCTTTAAAGTACAAAACAATCATTGTTTTTGATACAACGTCTGTCCCACGTCAATCAGATCCTCGCCTCATCACTTCACCGGACAAGAGTCAGACAAAGTTTGTGAGTTACTCAGGAGCATCAGCACGGTCGAAATCTTATCTTCCAGACAGACAGGAGCCTCTCAACATAAAACTTGCTAAGTACGAAGGGCACTGACGCTTCTCAGGTCAACTACATAGCAATGCACAAATTAAACATTCTTATAAGACACAGAATCCAACATTTCTTTATAATCAAAAATGCCTTTACAGTTTTAGAGTAATGAAACAAAATGGAAATAAACAAGCTAACAATCCCGTTATTAGTAGCCAAAAAAATAAGTAATCAGAATACTCTAATGCAGTTGTTTTTGTCAGGAGAAACCCTACAGCTCTCTAAGATGAAGTCAAGTACTCCTTCATGTACACGTTGTGTCAGAGAGAACAGAGAAAACACTACAAACAGGCCAAGTACAAATAGCTGATATTAAGTATTTTTGGCCTTAGATATGACTTGTGCTAAATCAATACTCTTCTCCTTCCCTGTCCCTTCAGAGAATAAACTGCAAAGTAAACTAATTTCATCTTGAAGCTGGGAGAACTGCAGTTAGGGCAGCAACAACAAATTTTAGATGCACACATCTGGCACTTGAGTCTGGAAAACATTAAAAGAGAAGCTGAGTGTACCCACGCTTTTGCTCTGTGAATAACTTTCCATTTTACAACAAGTGGTCGCTGGTTGAAATGGCACAAACAGATCGATGCAAATCACTTTTCTTTCCAGCATCTGGCTCTTTGCTTCCATCTGAAAACTGATAGTGTATCCCTGTGGCCGACATCCAGAACTTTGCCTGTTTTCATCCATCTCTTCTACAGAACACCTCACTAAGTACAAACACATTTTGTTTTGACATATAAGTGAACCTTTGATATTTTGTCTGCAAGGAAATAAGATACATGTACATGGCATGCTACTTAATTCCATGACACATATGTTAATGATTTACTGATATGATAAAACATGCCTTTTCATCTCAGGATTTATCACTGTACATATGTATTCTGAGATAATTTGTCAGGGCCTATTAGTCATTGATACTAATGCTTCATTAGGTCACATTAGTCTGTCAGAGCCATCCAACACTTTTCACTTTGGTCATTACAGCCGAGCAAGTCTGTAACAAATTAGCTTGATAAAGATGTCACAGTCATGAACATGAATACAAATTTTTCTTTAGGGTGTCACTTCTGATTTCCTGAAATAACACAGCAGCTTTTCCGGAAAAGTTGCCAAATTTCTCCGCAATAATCCACCAAAATGAGTTTCTAAATACATTTTAGACTATCCAGTAAAACAGAACAGAACTCTTCCTATGAGTGGCTAGAGATGTGTACTGTAGTGGTCTCCTGTAGCCAGACCTATTTCCACAGTGCTATGCCAGCACTAGAGAAAGGTCTGGAAGCACATATTATCTTTCTGCTATAGGAAAAAGAAAATGCTGTAGCTTGTTTTTATTCCTTTAAACCAGTCACAGTCGTCTTGAGCATTGCTAAGCCCAGGGTGCAATGACGGTGCTCCTGCAACATAGTGTCAGGGGTGTTTTGGTGGAATATTTACATGTGGGAAGGCAAGCACTGTCATTAAAATGGCCCCACAAAGAAAGAACATTAACACTCAAACGCTAACACGCAGAGAGCGGAAGGAAGGGAGAATGCCCGCCAAAATCAGTGGTTCAGTGGCAGGCTTATGGTCACAGTCTACATCCGGTGAGTTAGACTGCTGCTGTGTTAACAAATGCATATAATTCTATTATCAAAAAAAAAGGTTAATCCATTATCAGATTATATAACAGAGTTTGGGTAATCCCACCTCATACATTTGATAAGGTAAGTGGGTCTTAACGGAGTACATTTAAATGCAAAGGTTAAGAGAAGTGGCATTAATAATGCCACACATGCATGCACACACATACACACACACACACACACACATGCACACACAGCCCTCTTCCTACCCAGCAGCGTGGCCAGCGTCCTCATGTCCTTCTCCATCAGTGCATAGACTTCCTCCTTCGAGAAGCGTCCGATGCCATGGCCATACATCTCCCTGCGCACCATGCTGCCATTCAGGTGGCTCAGCAGCCACTTCAGTGTGTCACTCAGGGGGCCGCTCATCGCCAGAAGCTTCTGAGTCTCCTCCAGGTTGTCCACCCACTGGCAGTAGGCTATCGTCCTGAAAGAACACACACAGCGGACAACACTGGGTTAACATTACACTGGTTGCCTAACTGCGTCAGAGCACGAACAAGTCTGGCACCAAACTACCTACATCACAGATCTTTTAACCCAGAATAAGTTCCACTAACACTTGCAGGAGTGAAGTCTCACTAAGAAGTAAGAGGTTCTTGCTTCCTTCTGCTCTTTCTTCGATGGTACCAGGTTATGCAACTCCATTAACTCGCAATCAGATTGAGAGATAAAGCCAAATGTATCAGCAAACAAAACAATACACAGCAGCAGGGAAGTTCAGTCTATTTCCAAACCTACAAAATGTTATCAGCATCTCAACAGTACCAGGATCATGCTGCTGAGGGAAACACTGCTACCAAAAACGCTACACCTTCTAATAGCCTCACCAATCCTCAGCATCATTTGCAGTAGCATCTAATCTACACAGATGTGAAGCAGGTTGACATTGTAAAAGCAGAAAACAATGTTCCCCAACATTTATGTCTATGACCAGAATCCCACTGTTGGAGACTAATGGATGACATGATGACACCTAGGCAAGACGTCTGCCAAGCAGCAGAGAGCAGCAGAGTGCTGTTTGAGATCAACAAAAGCAGATGTTTTTAATGACAGTTTGTGACATGGTGCGCTGAGTTTGTAGCGACAGAAATGGATGTTTTTTCCAGATAGTTCAGGACATGCCTGGCAGTGTTTACAGTGACAAAGCTGGTGTTTTTTAACAGTAGATTGGGACATGTCCAGCTGTGTTTAGCGGGTGTTTTGCAATGATAGTTTTAAGCCAAAGCAAGATGTTTTCCTAACCCTGACCAGGTGTTTTTTTGTGCCCAAATCTAACTACAGAACACGACATAAAACTAAAAATTGAAGCATAAAAAGACAGCGTTTTAACATGTCCTCTATATGTAAAACATACACATTTAACATATCCATGGATGGCAGAAACATGCGAACATTTATTCTGACGATTGGGTTGGGGTGCTAGGATTTTAGCAGCACGTGATGAGACGCTATAATCTCAGGATACTAACAGCAGCTCTTTACGCAAGCATGCAATTTCTTATCAGCAATTCCAGTTCTGACAACTAACCTCTTCCTAATCAATACAAGTGCACCACCACTTCCGTCTTACTGCTCATTTATCAGCTATACTGCTCTCAACCCGCTGCCAGGAGACAACATCATATATCCAGCCCTTCAAACTGTCAGGTTGCTGTTGTGTACATGAGGAAATGCTTGAAGTGTGACGCTGCCTCTCATCCAAAAATAGGTTAGAGGAGAAAAGGTGACTGTGCACATATCCCAAAAATTCCATTACAGATTTGGATTAAAATTCTTGGACAAAAAATCCACTTACTGCTGCATTGTATGGCCTCTTTGTTGAGTCATTCAGATTCCCTTTTACTTTGTATTAAAATAAAAAAAAAACACAAAGAAACCTGGGCAGCTACGTGAGCCATGCTGACGTCAAGAAGAGATTTGTCTCACAGCAGCAGACAGACAGATCCTGTGTGTGTGTGTGTGCAAACAAGCCCAACTCAAAGCCTCGAAATCCCTCTCTAACTCTGCTTCTATTTATCTGCATCTCCTCCTTTGTGACTGGTGCAGATTTAATAAAGGAAACCAATAAGACACAGTTTATCTCATTAACAAGCGTAATAAAAAGAGTAACTATCTCTAATGTTTGGTACACTCATTGTCGACTACCGTGGATGTTTGTCCAGCCAAGCTGCCTGTGCGTGTAGACACTAACAAGATTAAGCTGCAATATCCTCACACACTTTCTCACACCACCACATTGGAAATACTGAATTTCTCCCACAGCTCGTCTGAGAGCCTGGAAGCTTCATGTCTTAATTCTGCTGGTCAAGGTTAACCCCTGAGCCATGATACGACTGTGGGGGAGCCTCTTGCCTGCATGCTGCTGGATCACTCTGGATGACTCGTCGCTCAATGGAAACTGAATTAAAGCATCAGACCTGCATTACATCTGAGAGTGGTGACTGTCCAGGAGCCATACATTACTTCCTCTTACATTATCTGTTGTCCCGTGAGGATGTACAGTCCTTTGTTTCAAGAGTCACTTTGAAGGGGGTTAGACTGCAGGTTTTCCTCCCGCTGATGGTCATGACTTGTGAGATGATAATGGTGAGTAATAGTGGTATTGGTCCCACTGTAACAACCGCTTTGGTAAAAGTCATAAAGGGACAATATTAAAGGTGGGATGATTTACTTTGTATCATCAGCAGAGGACAGCAACAAACCAACCAACCAAAAGAAAACTACTTAGACCAACCAATTGTGTTTTTATTGAAATATTGCAGAAATAATTTGATTTAAAATTGCATTTATTAGTTATTTTGGCCATTGGGGCAGTTGAAAAAGCTGTAAAAAAATACATATATCTGATATTATCACCTTATAATGTTGTTTTTAAACTTGTTAGCAAGCAACTGCCTATGTACACATTCAGTAGACACAGAACAACATTAGCATTCATTTATATAAGAGTTGTCGCAATACCAGAATTTTAATCTTAAACACAATATTAGTATAAAAGCAATACTGAATACGTCTTTTGTACCAAAGCAAGTGGTTACAGTGGTTACAAGTGTAGTGCCCATCTTCCTGTTCCCCTGGTTAACATAGTTAGCTCTGTCAGCACTGTGCTGAGAACAATGTCCTGACACCTTATACACTCCTAATTTTGCTTAGAGCCCCTTTAATGGAGACTGTATCATTTCAACCATGTGGTATTCAAAAAGGCTCGAAGTATTGATACTTCTGACAACCTAAATTTGTGCACATGACCAATACTTACTCTCCTTTTAGCTCCGGTTTAGACTCCACCAACTCCTGACCCAAAACAAACAAAAAAAAAACATTCCCATTGTACAAACTCATTTGGTTCATTGTTAACATGAAAAATATTAATAAAAGCAGCTTTAACATAATAATTAAAAATCTAATTCTTTAAAGGCTTGTTGTCTTTGTTGACTCTCTAACAGATTAATAATTCAAGTGACTGCTTCAGTATCAGTAGTGGATAAAGCATGAAGCACAGTTGCCACAGAGGCTATTTCTTTAGTTTCCTGTTATCTTATTTTTATAGCATCATCGATCAGAAGGGCTGGTGGTGGGAAACAGAGCGTATATGACCTAACTATCAGATGCTGCTGCCGCTGGCCACTCACTCTGTAGCCCTTCAAAGAGGAACCAGGCCGCTACATTGCCCTTCCCTGACATAAATAATTCAATCAATAGGTCTATATGTGGGTCCAAACATGGCAGAGGGTGGGTGGAGGAGCAGAGAAGGAGAGCAAGGAGGTGACACAGGGAGAGGGGATGTGGGTTATATGAATGACTTCTGCTGCTTTGAAGAAATGTTGTACAGAATTCGCTGTTCACATCACACACAAGTGCAATTTCACAACTGTATTTTATCCAATTACAACATTTCTAAACCATTTCTAAACAGTGAGGTCACACATGTCACATCCTCATTTCATCTCTTTCTTTACAGATGAAAACCCTTAAATGGTCTGTAAGTGACGACTAAGATTCACAGGGTTAGTTCAAAATGTGTCCTGACATTATAAAATAGAGAACAATGGGGCACATCATACTGGATCAAACCGTGTTAGATCAGTGTGTGTGTGCGTGTGTGTGAGTGGGCTGGAGAGTGAAAGATGGATAGAGCTTTTAGGTAATGGAAAACACTCTGAGCCTATGAGAGTGTGGGAGGAGTGGTAAACAATTTCCTAGCAGCAGTGTGTTTCTCACCCAGAGGTACTGGAGTGACTCACCACAGCAAAGGATGGCTGATAACGCAATACTGATGGTAAGGATAGAGTCAGTCTGGGCTGGAGGGCTGCGTAAATAATGCTTAAAAACACATGAAATAAAGACCTCAACATGTAATTTTTAGCTGTTATAATCAATGTGCCATTGTTGTTTTTCAAAGTGATCTGTGTGGGTGGTTTCTGACACTGTTTAATATTGGTGTTAAAATATTTATTTAAAGATCCAGTGTGAAGGATTTATGGGAATCTATTGGAAGAAATTGAGTTTAATATTTATAACTATGTTTTCATTTGTGTATAATCAAATTAAACTAAAAAATGTGTTTTTGTCAGCTTAGATTGAGCCCTTTATATCTACATAGCGCATCTTATTCCTCAGAGTCTGCTACAGTACACCGCCAGATTTCTATATTGGCCCAGAAAGGACAAACCAAACACTGGCTCTAGAGAGGGCCTTTTGCGTTTTTACTAGAGATGTCAGTTTTGTTTAATTTTGCTTTCCAAGACCTGACACCCATTAACTGGTAACTTACTGGCTAATTTTTAAGAAAAAAAAACAAAAACATTTGAAATGACATGAAACACAAGAAGCCTTTGCTTTTAGTTCAGTGCTCCGTTAACACATTGAGCTTTAGCAGCACATTTCAAAGAGCTATCTGTTTAGAGGTGGGGAAATTTTATTGTTTTGTCATGTAAATGTCTTGTCTTTTATTTGTCGGCTTTGCCGACAGACAGCACGCTGGCTGCATTAACATGCATAACATAGTCCCCACTGCCCACCCTCCGGTCTCCACTGGTTAACTAACGATAGCCTTAGCTGCTCTGCACTGTGCACCAGTTGGATCGGTTGGGAGCTAGTTAGCGGTGCCACTCATTTACGTTACTGCTGGTAGGGCCATCCCTCCACTGGGAGGATGTTGCTGCGGAAAAATTGTGCCCATCCTCAGGTCGATCCAGTGAGTAAGTGGCTTCATTTTGAGCTGCAAAACCCCTTTAGCATTGTTAACTATGTTAGCACTACTAGCCATGCTGACACTGCTAGAGCTAACAATGATAACATAGGCCTAGTTAACAATGCTAAAGGGGGTTCGGGCTCAAACTTGAGTCGCTTACTCACCGGGTTGATCTGAAGGGGTGAGAGCAGGTTTGGCCTTTGTTTCCACACCAACGCTGCTTTGTCTGGATGGTATTACTAGTGGTAATTGACAAAGGAGCAGCATCGCTAGCTAGCTCCCACCAGACGCGTGGTGCGCAGTGCTGTAAACTGAGGAGTAGCAAAATTAGCTCAACATGTGTAACCGGTCAGAAATATTTTTGCAATATCTTTGCATGCTGAGAAAGAATTGGCTCAGTTGGTTGCAAATCTGCAACCTCACTGCTCAATACCACAAAATCCTACACACTGCACCTTTAACTATGAATATGTAAATATAAATGTACATATTTTAATCAGCCCTCAAGCACAACAGTTATCTCAAATTATAAAAAAGTCACTGTGTTCTGCCTCTAAAATCAGCTAAAATTTGCTTAGTAATTGGATTCGTATTTGAATTCAGCAGAGACTGAAAAGAGATTGCAGTGAATGGAATCACAGCTTCTACCAGGTTTCCAAAGACACATTTGTAACTTCTCCCACACTACATACTCTCTACATATATGATTCCCCTACCAGTACAGGTGCTCCTCGACCATTTTGGTGACAGCTCGGGACACAGCTTTCTCCTGCGGGGTGAGGTTAATGTTGAGGTTGACACCCAGCTTCTCCTCCAGAAAGTCCACGATGAACTCTGACCCTGAAGCCTGCTCGTGGTTGTACTCCAGCCAGGGCATCTTACCCTGCGGCGACAGCTTCCCATCGAAGTAGTTCTGCAGAGGGAAACAGATTCATATGAATACTGACATTTTCTGGACAATAAGAGCATGTTATCGTAGACTGACATGCCACTTTTTGATTTCTGGGATCTCTCAAGGGTGACTCCATTGATCTTACACAGAAAGTCCAGTTTACTCGTCATGAGGAATATTACTCACACTGTGACAACACAACAACTTATAACAGAAATCCTAGAGGGCTGGAGTTTGAAAGACGTGGTTGTTTACCAGGCAGGAAGGGTCTAATGTAAGATGCCACTGAGTTGCATTATGGGAATTGTAGGATCCATTGTTTTTGGAGCTTAACCCATATTAGGGATTTAAAGTTAGGATAGCCTGGCCTCTGCTGCAGAAATTTCGACCATTCTATCACAAGTCACCCAACTGTGTGTGAGTGTAACAAACAATCACTGGAAGAGAAAAAGATCTAGCTAAGACAGCAATTACAAATTCCACTTGAATTAGCCTCCAAACCCTGCATTTTTAAATGCCCTAATCAGGATCAGTCTATCTAGCTGCAAATCTCTCTGCAAGTGGTTCCAGGCTGCAGGGGCAGAGAACATTGACGTCTGTTTGCCCAGCAGTAACTAGTCTCTAGTTTTAAAAGAGATATACCCACAAAGACAAGAGGGGAGGCTGGATCTATAAATAAATGTGTACCAGTAAGTGAGTCTGTGCAAGGCCAATGAAGGCTACTGAACTCCATCTGAGGAGGGAAAACTCACTCTTTGACTGAGCTGCAAAAGTTGGATCAGTGATGAAAGGTTGCAAGTAGAAACAGACTCCTTTCAAGGGGTCAAAAATCAAATCGTTTGGGAATCACTGGTCAACCTAGTGCAAAAGCAGTTTTGCTTTGTATACATTTTGGAAGGACCTAGTAGTCAGCATGACCACATTACAGACTACCAGCTACAGTAATGCAAGATACACCTGCAGAAAAAACAACATGGAAGGCTGTTTGTTTAGTGATCTCTGGGAGGTGTAGTGCAGAAACACCACAGGAAAGAGCACATCAGGGTCCTCTCCTGTAGCTCTGTGTTTATCAATCTCTGAGACAGTCTGCTGAGTATCACCTGGTAGGGCAGGTCCACCATGCGCAGGTATGTCTCTATTTTGAGGCAGAAGGGTGAGAGGCTGGGCACGCCATTCTTTGGCCTGGAGAACTGATGGAGGATGATGGCGTCTTTAGAGTCCAGCTCCTGCTCCTTCCTACACAGATGAGGAAAACAATGCCATTAGTAAACAGACAGTGTTGTTTGGACTAATCTACTTAAGCTTATGTTCCCAGATCAGTTTACAATGCATACTGTAAAACATAACTGAATAAAATGTTCTTATTTGTTTTTTGTTTCCTAAACATATTCTGGTCTATCTGAATTTAAAATCCATGGTGTCAAACCAAACTTTAATTTATCCTCTGTTCTTATTTGCTTTTGAGGAATCATTTGACTGACAATAAGCAGAATTTAGCACTTAACTCGTGTGTGTAATGCTTTAAAGGATTTTCCCACTCTGTGGATATTGCATTTCATGCTTTTTAGAAACAAACCGCAGCAAGTGGCTGATTCTTCAGGGAGAAATATCAGCTTTAACCCTGCTGATGATTCTCAGACACCAGCAGGAACAATAGTAAAGAGAGCATTGGCGTAAACTTAAAAGACATGAACGCATCCTTTGATTAAAATATTAAATTGTCACCAGTCTGGCTGAGAGCGACCAGTCTTACTACTTGTTTTCTAGGTCAGCCAGTGCTGTGAGATAAATATCAAACAGGACTCAGCATCTGCACAGAGAGCGGGACTTGCTGTTTAGTTTCAGGCTCTGACAACCCTTAGTTTATTAGAGCATGGTGACACAGCAAGTGGGTCCTGTGTCCCTGAGCTCTCAACCACCCACCAACACATTTTTATTTTCAGACCACGGGGGCTTCACTTCATTAACTTTAAACAACAGCTTTGTGCAGACCTACATATTGTTGTCCTGGCTGAACTCCAAGGAGAAAGAAATCCATTCTATTAATCAGTCGATTACAGTTTTTATGATTTTATCTGTCATCTTGTCATGTAAATGATTTCCTATGTTTACTTGTTTATGTTAATTTAACCAAAATGACCCCAGAAACCAAATGTATTATGTTAACACTATCTCTTTTCAGAGTAAAATAAAAAAAAAGCCTTCTTGGAGTTGAGGCTGAGTATGTGGAAAAGACTGTGTGTGGCATTAAGAGCTTCTTTTAAAATTGAAATTATCGACTGAATGAGTCATCACACTGCTCCAGTTTTAAGCAAACACACTGCTGGACATTTGACATCTGTGCCTGCTGTCTGAACAATTACAAACAATTATAAACTACTCTACTGATGGTCTGTTCTCTGTCTGTGGCCCCTGGACGCTGTGGGTCTGTTGTCCCTGTGGCAAATGTGAATAATGTTTGATTCAGATCTGCTCGTAATCAGACACTGATGACTTAAGGTCTTCAATAAAAAAATGTTACCATCAAGAGGAACATAAAATAGGGCATATACAAAACAAACAATTTTCCATTTCCATAACACTTATATGGCCTGCTGAAGCTTTTTATGCCACTACAGGTGCTAACCAGAGTTAAAAAGAAATACAGTTTTGATCTATGTGTCTCTGTTCCACACCAGGTGTTATTCATGCAGCACACAGGCAGGGCTAAAATGAGGCTTTACAAACTGGCATTAGCATCATTTGTTCCTGTCTGTCTGATCTGTTTAGCATGTCTTTTATCACTGGCCAAAGCTCCTCAAGTCTGAATAATTGAATCTAACTGTACAGGGGGCGTACTCCACCTCTGATCTAACATTATTTCTGAATAATACAATCATCTGCCAGTTTAATAGATGTGGCGAGCTAAAAATGATGCCGTCTAATACAGCAGTCCTGCAATAAGACTTTCCTGAAGGTTCAGTTTTTGTTAAAACTCATTTCTAATATTCAGTCCATCCTCAGTGATATAAGTGAATAATAAAAATAGTAGGAATACCTCTGAGTATAAAGCAATACGATTCAACAGCACTCCAAACTACAGCCTCTAAAGCGGCAATAAAGTTAAATCAACACCTCTCTGGGCTGTAACATGATTAGGTAACATCTAATTCCCTGCTGAGCTGTGCAGAAGGCCTCTGTTTAAAGATGAAAATGAGACTACATCGTTCAAAGCACAAACTGACTGGTGCTAGAGACCCACGGCCTCTTTAACAGCCATAAAGAAACATACTTAACGTTGCTTTATCATCATATACTTCAAGACCTTTCCTAATTTTATGAGAACTGGTTTTAAATATGACCTGATGACATGTTTCAATAGACGACTACAGTTGTTTTCAGTTCAGTTTCTTACAGGTTGTTCAGAAGAGATCTAACAACACAGATGTTTGACCATTCTGAAGTCTATTGTTGTTACTTAATCAAACTTAAATAACATCACTATACAATACAATATAACACCATATAACTGTATAACTGTGTATAAAAACATACTGGGCATCTTTGTTCATTAATGACTTTGTGGCAAAAACATACATAGCACATATAACCATGCACAGTGATGCCCCCAGAAATGTTTCCTAGGGGTGACCAGATGGGGCCACTGAAAATCTTGGGGTGACACACAAAACCAAATCAAACCAAAAGCCCAAACTGAATTTCTGAATAGTTCCACCACAATCCTGTTTAGATGTGTCATGTATCTGTAAATACATGTTAGGTGATTAGTAGTTCTTCAAATACACTGGTTGTCCTTTTCATTAAAAAGACAAACATACAGCTTTAATATGTAATTTGTAGTACACTGATTGTATTAAAAAAACAAACAAAAAAAACATTTACTGGGAACAAGCCTTCTCAATTTTAGGAGAGACTCATGGGTATCTGTAGGACCCATCTTCCTTCAAATATCTTGAAGTGAGAGTTCAAGAAAATGTACCATAACTTTGGAGCATTATTTAGCCCATTTCCTGACAAGCTATGCTCACAAAATTGGTACCAATGGATGCTTTACATATCGACCTCCAATTCTTTTCACATGGGGGCAGCTATTGTGTCATTTCGGATACCACTGATAACATATGAACATGAAACATTTGCTTATTTGGCATAGTAACAGTGCTGAAAATATTCAATAAATGAAGTCAGGACAAAGTCTGGTCATTTTTTGTTTTGGCTGTCCTGTAAAGTTGGTCAAAAGTCACTTATACCCCTCTGGTTCTCCCCCCTCGTAAGATTTTGTCCATCCCATGTGTATGAATGAGGGACGCCGCATAACAGAAACACCTCTATGTGGAGTACAATACAGTTAAACAGCACTACAAACTGCAGTCTCCAAAATAATATGGCTGGTAGAATCAAAACATCTGCAAAACTGTTTCAACAATTGCTGAATGGAGGGTTTGCTGCAGGCCTGTTGCATTAGCTAGGTGTACCTAATAAACTGGCAACTGAGTGTATATAGAGATATGTATACAGTATGCAAAATCTATGAACTGTGACGTGCCTGTTGTGTCTCTGTCCACTGTCTTGTGGTGCTGAAACTGATCCAAGTCTCGAAAGTCGCTGTCCACAGTCACGTGGTGCTGAAACCTCTCCAAATCTCATCCTCATCCTCCCTACTCCTCCTCCTCATCTCATCTCTCCCGTGCATCCTTCTGCCTATTTAAATGTGGGGCTGAAATCTCTTTGAGGAGCCACTTAGAGAGCTCTGTGGACACTAAGGAGGATCTCTCATGGAGGGGGACAGTGAGAACAACGGCTGACTGTGGCAGAGCTGCTGCTGCCAGTGCCAACAACACATCACATGGCAGCAGCAGATGATGCCGGCAGGCTGCGGGTCCAGCCTCAGTAGCCTGCACGTGATTCAGCAGCAGCGTTTTCTGCACGAAATACAAGGTTACACAGATTATGACGGGGGGGAGGGGAGGAGGGGGAGTGAAAGCAGATACTACCAGGCCACTGTAACAGGATGTACTTACTCCCCGGCACTGGCCTGGCCAAAAATAATCCCTCCATTGACAGGCACGCATTCTGTGCACTAACAATAGTCCTGAGTTAATCACTTGATCAGGACCTGGTTATTTCTTATTAATCCGACCTCATTACAACGTCTGGCTGTGCATTGCATGTGTGTTTTCTTTGCATATTTCGAGGCAGCAGCTGTGTGTTTCACAATAGAGTTCAATAAAGGTCGGTGTGACTCCGCAGCGCCCGAGGAGCGCTTCGTTTATTCACGCTCAGGTGCCGACGGAGCTGGCACGAAAGCCGGCACACGGGCTGACGCGTGACTCGTTTTTTTATTTATTAATTTATTTTTTTCCTCCATCTAGTGTCGTGTCCTTGGAAGGAGGAAAACACGATGGGCAGCAATCACCGCGAGATCTGCGCAGACATGACATCCTATGGAAGGACTCCCATATCCATTCATGTTTTTTATTCCAATGAGACCAATCAGTCCCTGTCAGCAGTTTAACAATCACAGCTCTGAGGGCTGAATAAAAAGCAGTGATGGTGATAAACAGACTAGGCTGTGGGTGCCTACCTGATGGCGAGCAGCTCATGCAGTAGGTAGGCTGCAGCAGCCAGCAGGGCCCCCCCGGTGATGTACAGAGTCTTCTTCCACCAGGAGTCCGAGCCCAGAACCGACATGATGCCCCCGTAGTCCTGTAGAGGGAAGGCGATGATATAGCCATACAAAGACTGCTGCTGCTCGGAGCCGCACAGCCCCAGGGGCAGGCTGTGATTCCGCCCGAGTTCAACCACACACGGCCGGGATGAGGCGAAGCCAGCAGCCCAGTACATCCTCCCTCCACTCGGTTACAGCCACCCCGCTTCCTCCCTGCTGTAGTCCCCGTTAGGCTTCATCTACACGCCCGGCGGGTTGTCTACGGCATGGCGGCGGCGGTGTGGCTAATATTTCTCCAGAAAATCACAAGAAGTGAACATCTCGTCTCGCCCTCCCCTGGATGATGCTCTGCACCCAGTCCGCTTTCCCTTTGCAGGGTGTACAGAACATTGTCAAGGTACCCAGAAACACAACAGCCTCACTTCCGGTCACAGATTTCAAAATTAAATGTCACTCCTGGGGTGGTGTTGCAATGTTGTTTTGATGGCTTCTACAATGTTCTATACACACCAGCAATAAGAGTGACAATTCTCAGTTTCAATAACATTTTTTGTAAATAAAGAAAACTTACTTTTCAGTAGCTGAGCATTAACTTTTCCAGTGACTTTAATCTTTTCTAATGTCATTTAGAGTTGAAGAACTTTTGAAGCTGATGATTTAAGACCTCAGGAGACTCATGTGTATGTCGTCCAGAGATTATGAGGGTGTCCTTGCCTTGTTCTTGCATTTAACTCAGACTGTATTCCCTTGCAAGTCACTCCACACTCCCAAATAAGGTTATTCTGTACTGATGTATGGCTTTGTGACGTTTCTACTGGTTACTAACTTTAAACAACAAGCACGCTCACCTGGCTCACTGTAAATCACATTAAATGTTTCTTACAAAATGCACATGCATGCATAAAACGATGTTCTCATCGCTTGAGCCTGGGGCATATGGCAATCTCCCTTCCCCTTAACCTTGGGAGCTATGGCAACGGAACCAGCTAGGCACCCTTATCTGGACAGCTGTACTCCCTCCACAACAACTGGGAGATGATAGATGGAGTGCGTTCATAACAAAGGTCAAGTAGCCTAACCTCGAGGCCTCTTTTATGCCTTCTGCTGACCTCAAGCATAACTATCATCCATTTCCTTTACTGACCAAGGCTACAGGCTGTAACATAACAAAATTCCCTCACAATTAGAACTTCAAGCACCCTTTTTAATTGAAAATGACCCAAACGATGATGCGATTATCAAAATAGTTCCTGATTAGTTTAGTGATTAGTGATTAATAGTTTCAGCTCCACATGTTAATAATGTTCAGACTGGCTGTTTCAGTTCACTTCAGTTTTTTCCAAATAGGCTCAAACAACCTGATTCGCTGCTGTATTATTTTGCCTTTCCCGAAACAGCCCACAGTTCATGATTTTGGTCATATACAATTTACATTTTATATTAGCTTACTACATTGTTCCATCTTTCTGTAAGTTTTTCACACAGCTTTGGTTAAATAATAATTATGTCTGCAAATATTGTGGTATATATGAGCATGACACCTCATTATTTACCATAGAAATAGTAGTTTGAGGAGATCTGATTTAAGTTCTGAAAAGGGCTTTCCATGAACCTTGATTTAGGATTCTAATTTCTGTCTATCATCAGATATTACACTACTATCATTTCTATAAAATTCCATTTACATACATCCTAATAACAGCCAATTACTCAAGGTAAACAAGGGCCTACAATTTGAACTAAAGTAACGCTGTGTAAAATCCTCATGCTTTTATTTTCACGGCTAACTCGAGCAACATCCGGTGTTAATGAGTCAAACTGTGGTGGCTTGACGGAGCTGGCCTATTGTCTGCTCCAGCGGATGAGTCACCCCGCCCTGACGAGCCCCCCGCATCCCAGTGAAACCAGTGGCTCACCATGATGAACACACAGCCTATTGGCCATTATGTCCAACATCATTACGTGATGTTAATATAAGACATTAAAGTGTGTGTGTGGCAGCCTGTGCAGGGACCATGGCATACTTCACCTATCTGCTGTAGTGTGTAGTTTACTTGTTTACATTTGAATGATTAAAACCGCAAAAACTCTTTATTGGCCAACATATGAATAAAGGTAGAAATGATCAGTTTGAAAAGTGTTATAATCTTTGTGCAATATAGGTCTAAAAATGCTAAATTGCAAACTATGCAGAGGAGGAAACTTTTTAATTTGAGCACATCAGTTCAGGGCAGGTGTCACAGATCACCTGTTGTAGGTCCAGACTGAGTTAATAATCAATATATGAATAATGTAAACATGGGAGATATATGGATGTAATCAGAGGCAGAATGGAAAGTCTACTCACTCTGCAACAACCTCGGAAGTGTAGGAAGAAATTCATCTTGACGGATAAATCCACCGGTTGACCTGTGAATCTGTTGGAGCATGCCGAGAGGTGGATGGAGACAACTTCCCGAATAGATCCTACAGCTTACATCACTCTCGGTGCCACCCTGGTGCCAATCAAATCCCGTCTCCCTCCGGCCAACAGGTGCCAATCTGTCCAGGTCGGTAAGAGCTGGAGTATTTAACCAGAACAGGATGACCTGACGGTGTGCATGTAATCTATGGCAGGCACGGTGATGCACTTCAAAGTCCCCACTGCAGCCATGGCTACTGCAAGTTAGGTGCGCACTCCCGCGGCTTTAGGGAGCGCGCATTAGAGCAGGAGTGTTTATTGTAGACAGCTGAAGTAGTGTGGGAATAATAGTGCACCGCAGGCACTACAGTAGCACACTCAATGTGAGATATGTGGGAGTTCCCATTGTTTTCCTCCATTTCCCTTAGTGATATACAAATCAATATAGTGTTTATCAGTCTTATAGAAATGATAACATGTATGAGGGGAAATAAGATTCTTTGCTTTGATGGGACCCCTGAAACCCATCATCACCCCCTCTAGTCCCCAAATCTATTCTCTTAGCTGCTGCATCAGAAGAAAAAAAATCATCTCTGCAGCAATGTACAGCCTGGTTATTGGTCTCTTTAAGAACATCGTGCAAGCATGACTTATTCTCTGCCACAGGCTCACTTTGTATTATATAATACTTCCACATGAGACCCATTATAATCCCAGAGGAAGTGACTGTCCCACCCTCATGTGGACACATCTTCTAAAGGATAAAAACGCCTTCCAGTGTGCAGCAAAAAACAACATGAAATCATATTTATTGTTTTCAGCCACGACCAAATCTATCAGATTCTTCACTGTTGTATTTTCACTCCTCAGAAATGCAACAACTTCAGTAGAGAATATGGCAAATCACAAAATATTTTACCCAAAATATGAAGCTGATTCAACGGTATACTCTGTAAATGATGCATGTGAGCATTACAAACTCAGCTGCTGTGTGGTTATATAGCTCTGCTACTGAATAACACAATTAGAGTGTGTACAGTTGCCTTGAAAAGCTCATCTTAAACTGATTACACTTCATAGTAAATCAAAGGCTGAGAGAACACCAACAGCGTAATGCAGTCTTATACAGTACATCTTTAATTCTGTCTCCAGGCTCTTTGCCCCTTTGCCTTTGATAACCTCAGTCTCATACGCTGCATCACAGCTGACCCACGGGGAAGTGAGGGCTTCACACATCAATGTTTTTTTGTTGTTTTTGTTGTTCTCCAGTCGTTTGGCTCAGCTGTGTGTGGCTGCAGTGTGATCCCCTGGATGGGAGCTGCTTTCCTCAGCCCACTCTGTGTGGGGATCATCTCTCACTTTGACAGCGTGGAGGGCGTAGTTGATGGCGGTGCTGTTAGTCCAGCTCCAGGCTCCTGATACTGGGTTGTACAGCATTCCTTGAACAGACTGTACTGAGAAACCATCTGGTAGGGGATGACAGGGATGGGGAGAGGTTAGAGGCTGAAGAATGACAGCATGACAGCAACAGCAAACTTCTTGTTTTTATACCTATAATAGAATGTTTTCAACTCTGGGCCCCCCTGCAACAACATAACATAGTGATAGTGCAGCTGATTTTAATGGCTGGTTACAACACTAAACATGTGACTCTGAATTTCCTCAAACTAAATTAATGTGTATTAAGGAGTAGGGGAGACAGGGGCTGGTTGGTACACAGCTATTTTCTGCTACTTTGATGGTCACAGACGCAAAATGTAACATCAAAAAGTCTGATTTCTTCACATGAACTAATATACTTCGTCAAAACATCTCAAAGTTACTATCTTTTTCTAGTGGAGGCATTTTAGTTTTATAGAATCAAAAGTTAAAAAAAAAAGATGTCTGTGGACTAAACGTACCGTAAAACTGTTAGAGATATTAGAAATGTGTTACTTCTAGTTAACAGACACAGAAATCAGCTATATTTTGATACAAGATCTGAAAGTCCGTGATGAGTGATGGTAGCTGACTAACAATTCTATTAAAGGATGCACGACATTAGATTGTTTGGCAATATCTGATATGCTGATATGTAAAAACTCATTTGACCGATAACCGGTACTGATATCAATATATCCACTTTTTTCCTGTCCTGATTTTAGTGATCATCAAGTCTCTTCTGTAGTGCAATTAACATCATATTATGCATGCATACTCTGTGGTGTGATGGCCCACCCGCAGATGGACATGAAATACGATGCATTTCAATGTATGTAATATTCATTCATTGTGCAAAATAAGAAAAAGCATGTTGGCCGATTATGATAGTTCATTTTAAAGCCGATATTAGCCGATACTGATGACGTGCCGATATTAAAAACAATCATTATTCTGAAAGGTCAATCGCAAAATGAATTAGTCATTAGGCCCGTTTCCACCGCACACCTGAAGTAACAGGGGAAGGTTGGGATGTGAAGTGTTTGAGCTGGATGAACTGAGTGCGGTGAGAGAGATAAGATTCAAACCAGTCTAGAGGAGTATGAGTGATGCCGATGGAGGATAGTCTATTGAGGAGGGTGGTGTGACAGATGGTGTCAAAGGCTGCACTGAGGTCAAGGAGGATGAGGATGGAGAGTAAACCAGAATCAGCTGCCATGAGGAGGTCGTTGGTTATTTTTGTGAGTGCAGTTTCTGTGCTGTGGAGAGGGCGGAAACCAGACTGGAACTGTTCATACAGGTTGTTGTGTGATAGATGGGAGTGGAGTTGAATTGCTACTGTTTTTTTCAAGAATCTTGGAAATGAAGGGGAGATTAGAAATTGGACGTAGGTTATTGAAGTTGGTGGGGTCTGCACCGGGTTTTTTCAGAATTGGGGTAATTGCAGCGGTTTTGAATGGTGTAGGAACAGTTCCAGTGGAGAGAGAGGAGTGGATGATGGAAGAGATGAGAGGGACCAGGGAAGGGAGGCAGGCTTTGACCAGAACTGTGGGGAGAGTGTCGAGCTGACAGGTGGATGGGTTGGACTTTCGGATAAGATCTGAAATTTCTGAGGTGGTGGGGAGCTGGAAGGAGGAAAAAGAGTGGGTAGGAGGGGGAAGTTCGGGTACGACATTGAGGGTGGGTTGTGAGCTGAGTTGCTGGTGGATCGTCTGGATTTTCTGACTGAAGAATGACATGATGGAGTTACAGAGAGCAGTAGAACAAGGGTGAAGTGGTACAGATTCTATATATCTTAGTTACAACATGACTGAGCTAGCAAAGCAGTTTTGTGTTGATATGTGTGGTATGTATTCAGTTTTGGGAAATCACGATGTCTAGAAAGCATCAGTGGCTGCAGCTGACAGGGACAGCTAACAGCAGCAGCAAAGCTAACATCAGGACGTCATCTGTTAAAAGCCTCCCGTTGTCGGATACGACATGAAACTACTCCAGTTAACTCAATCATGTTGTAACTAAGACATCCGTTGGAAAAAATATTTTTTTTCACGGGCCATTTAGTGAGTTATTACAGACACCGCTAAGGGCTATCAGCTAACGGTGTCCCTACGGCCCCCGGTAAATGGTCACGCAATGATTACGTCACATCCAGAGCCCGTAACTTTACAGGAACCTTCCTCGTACTCCGCTCTCAGTGGAGACACGGCGATTGAGAGGGCCAAGCGAGAGGATGTTCCTGTAGTAGTTCCTGCCCCCCAAATAGTACCAGGAACTTCTTCAGTGGAAACGGGTCTATTCTTACTGATAAATTGCTTAAAATGTTTTTTGGTTTAAAAAATGGGCAGATATTATATTAATTGTTCTCGTTTTCTTTTTGTAGACTTAAATGTTCAAATTGTTTCTATTGGTAGCTTCATTTTTTTATAAAGCATTTTAACATTGTCCCAACCGATGCCCCTGATGGTGTTGTTGGCACGAATGTACATGACTTTAATCACAAATCACCTTACTTTAGAAAACATTTGTGTACATTAAAAAACACATATTTTTTATCTGAGACCTCAACATCTTATTTGCTGCTGGTGAGAATATTCTCACATAAATTAAACCAGAGAGATACAGTGCAGAGTGAAAACGTGCCAACCAACCCTGGTCTCCCCTACCAGTACAGTGTAAACAAATGTAACTGCCTGTAAGGGAAAAAATATTATTCTTTATTTATTTTGTTTAGACAGTGAAATGTTGCTTTATTCAACCCATATTTAGAGCTGGGAATTGAACATAATGTCAGATCCTATAAATGATGAAATTCCCATCTGGTGAGCTCAGTAATACATTTATTTTAGATTTAACCCGTCATTTTGGCAGCTCAGAATGAGCCAATCAGGGGTTGGTGATTCCTTTTCCTATTGAAAAAAAAAATAATAAAAAATCCAACAAAGTGTGGCCCAAACACTTATTACTCCAAAGACAAATGCATAATTTGGAATCTCCCCAGAGCTACTGAACAGCATGTGGATGAACATGTGCAGAAAACATATCAAATTTGTATCTACTGAACACATTGTGTGCTTTTTAAACCAGGCCTTGTTTACAGAATGAAATATCTTTCCGAGTGAGCCACTTTCTGACTGAGGTGTTTACATGATTCATTTTTATTCTTACTGAGCACTTTTGCTGATTATTAACACATCTAGTGTTTCTCGTTTAAAAGGGAACCCACTTCATTCTGTGTGTGCTCTTTCCCCCCAGTATGGAAATTAGAGGGACCTACTGGACTCCAGGAGGCGCTCCAGCTCTTCAGGGCTGATGAACTTCTCCCAGTCGTGTGTCCCACTGGGAACGATGCGCAGCAGCTGCTCAGCTACAACAATACCCAGCGCGTATGACAGGTTGGTTTTATTAATAGTAGTGATGAAGAGAGAGCCGCCTGGCTGCACACAGAAAAAGGAAGAGTTAGTTTATGAACGATTTATAGTTTTTACCATTAATATTAAGTCAGATAAATTATTTTACGTTGAGATCACATCCCTATAGGTACAGTACACAAGCAAGGTGCTGCCTTAGTAATAAGCGTATTTATAGAATGGATTAGATGGGCAGAGTCCAAGGAAGAGAGCAGAAAGTGCCAGTGCCAAACCTCAAGGTTCAAGCTGGGTCAAGATTAACAATTTCAACAACAGGGGAGGAGGGAGGAGAGTGGACAGGGAGAGAGAGTGGGCAAGACTGAGTGCAGTAAAATGAATCCAAACAATACAAGAATTCATCTCTGCATAGGCGCCCTGCAGCAAAACACTTTTTTTTAAAGCAAAAAAAGCAGGAGTGAGAGATTTGGGCCGGAGAGAGAGAGAAAGTGGAGTCGTGCCTCAACCAAATGCAGAGGCATTAAGTGAAGATTAGGCTCTTTCCCCATCTCCACTCCTCTGGCCCAGTGACCTGGGAGATTACAATCATCTGCTCTCAGTATTGATGTACAGCTCTCAGTAAAGCTTGTCAAGGTTCAACGCAGCCCATACACATAAAAACACATGCTCACCTATTCCCAGTGAAACACAACAGATGCAAACACAACAAAATCACCATATGCACATTAGCACGCGCTCAGATGAACACACAGACACATACTGTTTTGGTGCAGAAACATCTAACATGAGCTAACAGCTGGAGGAAAACACACACACACACACACACACTATCCCAGGACACACCTTCAGCACGTGGCTGCAGCAGGAGGCGAATGTTTCCAGGTCGGCCAGATGTTCCACCACCTCAGAGGCTACGACAGCATCGAACTGGCCCACACACTGCTCCTCCTTCTCTCCTCCCTCCTCTTCTGCTGAGAGCTCCTCCAGTGTGCATGCCCTGTAGCAGACCCGATCGCGAAGGTCCGGGTCACTGGACGAATGCAGCTGGGCTGTGCTGATGCTCTCTTCTGTTGGATCGATACCCAACACATTTGCCCCAAGGCGACCTAGGGGCTTGTGAAGGACAAGGAGGAGAGAGTAGACAGAGAAAAGTCAAAATCTCAGGATCAACTTATATACCCCAACACTGACATTTCTCTCCCAGCATTAACACTGTGTCACTCAATGCACATTGACACTAATATCTGGCAGCACTACAATATGTAACACTATTGTCTTTGTTTTTATTTATTCTCTTTTGTTGTTGTTGTTGTTGTTGTTGTTGTTGTTGTTGCGTAAACCAAGATTACATTAAAACAAACAGATGCTGCAATATGCCCCAGTAGGCTTTATTTCCCTATATTCAGTTCATTCCAATGATAAAACAAAACATATATCCACTACATATTTACACATGCAAAGGATATATGAATGTATATATAAACAGTGTTAATATACCCTATCTTTTGTATTTGGCCACAAGTTCTCATCCACATCACACCTTATCTCCTCTCTAAAATGTCTCTAAGCAGGATACCATCATGTAGCTGGAGGTCATAAACTTTCCACCTCCACGAGGAAAAATAATTCCTCTATGGGTTTGTTTTGCTTTTTAAGATGTAGATGTAGTTGAATGTAACATAAGTAATCCCAATGTACAGAAGCCTATGCCAGCTGTCATTGAACGAGAGGCAGGGTACACCCTGGACAGGTCGCCAGACTATCACAGGGCTGACACATAGAAACAGACAACCATTCACACTCACATTCACACCTACGGACAATTTAGTGTCACCAATTAACCTACATGTCTTTGGACTGTGGGAGGAAGCTGGAGGAAATCCCACGCTGACATGGGGAGAACATGAGAACTCCACACAAAAGGGCTAATTTTGTGGGGGAAAAAAGGGAGTGAAGCACTGAGTTAAGGCACTATGTGGTTAGATATAAAAAAAATCAGGTGCTCTTCGAGGATAAGAACAACGACTGGCCAGCTCACTCAGGGTAAAAGTCCATGGTACAGGAAGGCAGTCCAAAAATGCATCTGAGGCACTTTGACTGTAGTTGTTTTTTATCTTTATGGGCTAATTTTGTGTTATGTTGGATTTTTTTTAATAGTATCTAAACATACCTTAAATAACTTTGGACACAGAGTTTTGGTGCTGGTTGTCGTGGTTAAGTTTGAGGAAGAAAACAATTCATGAAATTTGAAAGATGAGGTCATTGAATGCCTCTGTGTCAAAGCAATTAAAAGTGATCCACAGTGTAGTCTGCACTGACTGCTGTTGTACAGACTGTGAGAAGAGCTCAGGGCTCGAGTGAACTCAGTATGGAGAAATGCATGCTGTAAAAAACACTGTAACAGCATTTAAGAGCAGGTGAGAAGCATCAGAAGTGGTTGGATGTGAGCTACAATGCCCTCTTCTGGACAAAAGTAAACACACAGGCATGTGTGGTTAGCTGCATTTGCCCAGGGGCCGATCTCCATCCTCCCACAGCTGATCTCTTCTGATGGGAAGTGTTGTAGAGACAAGACACCCAGAGACACAACCACAGCTGCAATCTTAACAGACACATTTTGGGGTTTTGTGTCTGAACATGACAGCCTGTGTGACAGAGCCATGCAAGTCTAGGACCTGATTTTGTCTTCTCAAATCACACAACACAGCTGGTATGTCCTCAGTTCAAATAAAGGCAGAGACAGGAGCCCTGTCCTGGCTGCCCAGCTATCAACACTAACAAACAGATAAACAACTGTAAATGACCGACTGTCCGCTCCACCAAACTGAGACCAGTCAGATCAAAAGAAAGGGAGAATTAGGCTGACGTTTAAATGTTCTTTAGCCACTGGTATGTATGTGAAAGGACTGGCACTGTAATGCACTGAAAGCAAAATCTGAAACAGGCTGCTGTCTGAAAAGCAGTGACTCAATGTGATGTGAAAGGCAGCAATTGGGAGCGGACAGAGAATGTATAGTGGGAGATATTTTTGTCTGCGTGTCCTTATGTGCACTGTTGGTGCATCTGTCTCACAAAAAGAAACATGCACAGTTACCTCTGAGAGCAGGCCTCCTCCACATCCCACATCCAGTATTCTGAGCCCTCCAAGTGGTTTCCCAGGGTGACGTGTTCTGTGCACATTCAGCAGATTATCCCTGAACAGGTAAACAAACAGTGGGTTAAAACTCAAATCAAAGGATCAGCACCTGTCCTCCCTTTACTCTCCAAAACACACACATCATGTTCCAGTCACAGTCTGTTGAATCTGAAACAAAAAATACTGGGGGAGGATGTGTGTATTCTAAATCATCCACAGCCTATGTAATGCTGTTTAGCATAAGGAGGTGTATGTGGTGTTGAAGACCGTGAGATTCTCCACATTCAGCTTACACCATCCTCTGTCAGAACCACTGCCATTTCACCATGTGCTACAGTGTCTGCCAGCTAACGACAAATATCCTCTGGCTACAAATTCATCCCTACCTCGCTCCTGTGTTCCTCCCTCCCTACCTTCCCTGACACACGGCCTGCCTCAGGCATTAAACATGCAGAACAGGCCAAGATCTGGGGGTGCATCGTCCTCATTAAAGCTCCGCTAGGGTGCAAGGGCATTCGTGCAAACAGTGAAGGCAAGAGGATTAGGTGTTTGCAGACATCCACTTAACTAGCTCCCAACCCCACCACGGCACAGGAAGACACAGACAAAAGCTACTTAGCTGCAATCTGAGTGAAATGTCAAGCCACGTGAAGAGCCACTATGTGAAGAACGATTATGCTAGTAATAAAAAAATACCTCTAAATGTAATCTTAAACTACTTAAACTAAACTTTAACTTAAAAATAGTGACACCAGACAATGTTTGCCTCTTTTTAGGTGGCAGGAGTGCAAATGAGTCATCCTTGACATTTCTTGTGTCATGGATTCAGAATGATGAAGACAGCTGGAGCACAATTATACAAAATAGGATGTAGGCTCTACGGCAGGCCTGCAGGACATATCAAGCCTAGAAGCAACCTCCGAGTGGCCCAGCTAGGGATTAAACAGCCCCGGGGCATTATTAAAGACCGTAGTATTGATAAGCTCTGACATTATCGGTTCTTTTATCGTTACTTTTTAAAGTTTGGGTTTTATTTATTACCATTACATTATTTATTATTACTATCTGACCTCCACGTAAACGGACACACTCTAAAAACACACACAACACAGAGTGGATTCAGTGAACAGCAGAGAGGCCGCAGTGCAGATGAAGTCAGTATTACTCTACACTCAGCTACACTTGTTTAAATACCTTGGCCAGTAAAAAGCCACTTCTTTAATGATAAACGTGTTCTGTATTTTAAAAGCGATATTTCAGTCTGCTCTGTCCACAGTCTCTCATCCAGCACTATAATGTTTACACAAGCACGGTAAGCTAGCTTGGCTTATAGCAAATTAATAAAAACAAGCTAAAATGAAAGATGTCCATGTGTAGTCTAACTGTTTCAGCTAAGAAGGACACGCATCAGAGGTAGCCGACCTGCAGGCAGTGACTCAGATCAGCAGAGAGGGGACAGAGAGCAGGATGCATGAATGATACTGACTGATGTCTGTGTTCTGTCTTTATTACCATATCCACAGCATGTTCAATAAATACAATTTAAGTTTTCCAAAGTCAGAATTGACCGTATCACTGTAAGAATGTCAGAGTCTAAAAGGTAGCGCAGCAACAGTAGCAGTGGTGTTGCTGCTGCGTCTCATTTAGACACACCCTGAGGGCAGACTCATATCAGGCAAATCAGCCACAGCCAGACATACACTGCCACTGGATCTGTCATACTGTCACCACAAACACACATCATCATCATCACCACCAGAACCACAGAGGGGGAAGGGGAGAGCAGCAACGGGCTCTTGGCTGGATGGGTAATGTAATGATTATCTTGTGGGGCCCCTACAGCAGATCTTATCAATCAAAACAGACACAGCCCACCCCAAAACATTAATGTATGTAGCGTTGGGGCAGTTGAAATGCTATTTGCTGAAAATGTGTTGATGCGTGGAGGAATCTTGTCACTTTCAATTGATGCTTCTTTTATGTGTCCCTGATGTATTTTCTGCTCTCATATACCACAAGGCTGGATCTCCTCCAGGTTATGTTTTGACACAACTGCTTGATGCCTCTGCCAGTCAATCCCATGTTGACAGTGACTTGGGTGTGACATCTTGGTATTTCAAAAATATAACTATTGAAATGGATGTTATACATCAAACACACACCGTATAAAAGGCACCCTCAGGTCATTCATGGCATGAAGAGCTGCAAATTCTCCCTGTTCATCCCACCACTTGCCGGCCAGTAACTGGAACCGTCTCACCTCATCGGGATCCACTGTGCTTTGGGAGGCTGACCGAGCACTGTTAACATAGACAGGACCACATCAACACCATACATGGCTAAACATGAGACTTGAAGGGACAGTTCACCCACAGAATGATCATTTGTGTATCAAAACATCACCCTGTGTTACTCTGAATTTGTGAACACAGCTTTGTTTTTCTCGCATGACTCTGGTGAACCAAGAATCCAAAAACTGAGAAAAATCTTGATTAAGTTTAACAACAGCAAAAAACACTATCAAAATATCCATTTACAAACTCTCTCACAACTCATGCAGGATAATCCAGGTCTCATTTAATCAGTCAAATGCTTAGTACTTCCTAAACAAATGCATTTTTTACAAAGACCTTACCATTTAAAACTGAAGTGAAATTTAACCATGTTCTTTTGATTGTAATTGTAATTTTACCTCACTAAATACAGGAGCTGGTGGTCTAAAAATGCCTTGATCAGTTAGTTAGTTTGTGTTATTGTGGGTCTTCAGTGTTTTATCCGGTTAAATTAGATTCACTAAAGTCACACAGTAACACAAACACTACCAACTGAGACTGTGGTAGACCAGCAGCTCCTGTGTTCAGTGAGGTGGAATTACGTTTTTGGTCAATTGACTCTGGCTTTTTTAGAGAGCATAGGCACGTTTCAAGTAAATACAAAGGTTGTAGGAGCAGATCATGAAATTTGTGTATCGTTTGGTGAATTGGGTCTCATGGTGATTGGCAGTTTTACCTATATAAGGTAGGAACCTTTGTGTCTGGGCAGGTGTTTCCACCAGAAGAAGAAAAACAGTTTTTGAGCACTGTGCAGCAAGACGCTGAACGTTACATGAGGATGTTGTATGATAAAGTTCACCTTTGGAGGTTTTTGGATGTAAAATAAAGTAACTATGTGCATCATAAGGCAATTTGAGCTGGACTTTGATTCAACTGTTGCGGTAATGTAAAGCACGTCAACTAGGTTTTCCTGTTTAAACACCAGTGGTGTAGAGCATTGGCTTAGCCTCTATTGGTTTTTAGCAAAAATGCATGTTTGGGAAGTACTGAACATACAACTGGATAAGTGAACTTGAATTATACTGCATGACTGCATGTGAGAGTGTGTAAACAGATGTTTTGATATAGTTTTGCTGTTGCTCAACGTGGACCCCTATGACTTCAATTCATCAAGAATTTTTCCTGATTTTGGATTACTTGTCACTGCAGGCAGACAAGTAAAACATATTTCTCCAGGAATTCAACATAACTCAGGGAAAGTAACTGATATACAAATTGTCATTTGGGGGGTGAAGTATTCCTTTAACACAGGGTACAAACAACAGCAAATGATGCATACAACCTTGAAAACTTTTCTTGGGACCATGGATTTAAAAGCCCCTGTATCTATATGGTGCCACAAAATTTTCCAATTGGTGATGAAATAATTTAACTGGGAGAAGTAGAAAAACGGCAATTCTGATAATTAACATTTCAGTCATTTATCAAGCAAAGCAAAAAATATTTTTTGAAACTGGTGGTGGTTTGAGCGTGTCAGATGTGAGTATCTTTTTTTAATATCACTTAATAATAAATATATCTGGGTAATGGCCTATTTGGATAACACAAACCGCATCCTTGGGTTCAAAGAAATAAATGGTGGTGGAAACCTTTTTTTTTTTATTACATTTTATATAACAATTGATTAAACAAAAAAGTAATGACAAGTCAATCGAGTATGAAAACAACTGTTGGTTTTAGTCACGCATCCTATCTTTCTTGCAGCCCAGTATATATCCAAGCCCCTAACAAGGTTTTAGTTGCAGCTTTAAAAGAAACATATATGCTAAAAGCTCACTACCTTCATATAACGTTAGATTTCTAGAGATCAAAATTCCCTCATTACTGCTACACATTTCCTCCCTAATGTGGATAAGTGAACTGTGACATGTGACGGTAAGCAGTCAAAAACAAAGTGGCACCTCTATGACTGTACCTGAAGCGACAGGGAACAGTGGCATGTAGCTGGGTCCTCACACAGCCGCTCCTCTGCGGCAAGAGTGTCCGCTGTTGACACACCGCAGCCCAGCTGAACCCGCTCCGCCCTACCGCGGCCGTCTTGCGGCTGTACAGCCCCAACACGAGGCGACCAAACTTATTAGCGTACATGATATCATAACACAAACCTGCAGCTAGCTACTGTAAATGTATTCTCAGCACTTGTCACTTTGACCCAAAGTGCACACGTCTTTTCAGTTCGGGTGGAAACAACACGCACTTTAGTTCCTATTGTTCATGAATTGGTGTTACTGAGGGACAACAAGCGGTTTATTAAACGGCAACTTTAAAGTTTTTCAGCCTGAAAGCTAGTTTGCCATGTTTTTGTCTAAGTGACTAATGTAGACAACTTTTTCTTTTTTTTTTTAAATTGGTCCTGTATTGAGACAGCGTTGCAGCTGGCAGCTACTCAACAGGATGCCACACAGGTCATTTATGCACTGTCAGTTTATGACCACTGACAGTGCTTGTTTTTGACACTGACAGGCTCAGGCTGTTATTCTAAGTGTCTGACAACATTGTGGAAATAATCCCTACAGAGACAGACCTTTTTGTTAAAGAGTAAGATCCTTTATCCCTAACTAGAATCAGCCCTGAAATCGCCATCACCAAACCACTTATTAAAAAAAGTTATTTCATCATTGTAAAACACACTTCATTCAAAGTAGATAGAAACAAAATAAAACTCACATAAACCATCTTGGTTTGTCTTTTCACTGTTAAAACAATCACCTTCTCTTGTTTGGTTAAAATAAACCTTACTTCATCCAGTCAGATGTGAAAATACACTGGCTTTATACCTGCTAAAACTATTGTTTATTTCAATGAAATCTGGTGGATTTACAGAGAGATTTGGGGGTTTCTGGTTGAAAAATAAGGATCTTACTCTAACAGAAAGGTCTAGCTCAGTGGGGATCCTTACAACAATAATCTGAGTCTGTAAGTGACATAACAAAACTGTCTGTGCACAAATGCTGCAGTTCACTGCCGCCCACAGTGGTCACACTCAAAACTGGTCCAATTTCAAATGTGTTATCTTCATTAGTCACTAAAACGAGGAGAGGAAATGTTATATATAGCAACTTGTGAAATAAATTCTTCTTGACAATTGCGATGGGAGTGTTTTGTCACATCCGATGACTATAAATGTCATTTCCATGTAATCACAAGTTTTATGTATGTTTCACAAGCTTTATGTATTCTTGTTATATGGTAAACTATGTTGCTCCAGGGTATGTTTCTAGAAATGCATCTCATATTCTCACGAGAAGTTATACTATTTTGTAAAGCAGCTTAAAGGTAAAATCTGCACTGCAGCACATTATATTAGCAGAAATATCTCCAGCTGCACTGATGGTATTGGGCAACATCTCCAGGTATGTAGTCTCTATTCAAGTGTTCACCATGTAGTCCTTTGAAGTATGAATTATTATAAACCCATGGGTAGCCGTAACAGGTCTCAGGTTATTCTGTGTTGAAGACATGCTGTTTACTGTTATATATAGTATTAAGAAAAAGAGACAGTGAGGCAAGACAAGGAACAAACAGTTTTATTGGACACATACAATAATGTTTGGAGAAAAAAAGTTAATCCTGTTCTGGTTTAAAATGTTACAACTTGAGCTTTTAGTGTCCACAGAGTCTTATTAAGCTTTGCATAATGATACAAGTGAAAACTCCTACCATTCAAAAACTCCTGCTCTTCAGTCACACTTTAAAAATAACAACATATGTACAAAGATGAAAGATGTATGAGCGGGGTTCACCTACACAACTGCCTCTATAATGAGACAAGCCTGTTCAACTCATGGAATTTAAAATGGTAAAGTGCACAGATCGGGAGGTTAACTGTGCTCCTCAGCGTCTGCTACGACGGGAGAGAGATGTTGACCTGAAAGAGACGTGGACATAACATTAATACTGCACCAATCACATTCTCCCACGCAGACTACAAAATACAAACATGCACAAATCCCCCCCGCCCACCATGCTGTACTCTCATAGAAAACTACATAAATTCATAGAAACTTATGTTGTGCAGACTCCAGAGAAGCCCATTTAACCTACAGTGCACAGTGTAAGGCAAGACATGTCTTTGGTTCACTTTGGCATTACTAGGACCTTAATCTGAGAAGAAAGATTTCACATCTAGACAAGGTGCTACAAAACAGACTACTGGACTCTACTAAGGCAACAGACAGATATTGAAATTTGCATTTGATAGATAAAACCATCAAAAAGCATTAAAACCTTTTATTGCATCAGAGTTGACTTTACAGAGTTAAGACGACGTGACTGCAGTTGACAGTACATTTTCACAACATTCAGTCAGCAATTTTCCTTTTTAAGGCTACTGCAATTATACTGAATAAAAAAGGACTGGAGAGAAATCACAATGACACATACAATAAAAACATACAGTAGGAAAGAAAGGGAAATAAACGAATACTACCTTGATCGCGACTTAGACTTGTGTTTGCGGCTTGCCTTCTTACCAGACTTGTGAGACTTTTCCGTCGACCTGGAGCGACTACGTTTAGATTTTTTAGATTTCTTTTCCTTGCTAACTTCAGGTGTAGGGGATCTACTTGAGTCAGAGTCTGAGCGCTTCTTGCTAGCTTTGGCGGAGCCCTTCTTGCTGGCTTTGCTGTCCTGCCGGGAGTGCTTGTCACTCTGAGAGTCCGTGTACGAGTCACTCTCTTTCCTCTTCTTTGATTTGCCGTTCTCCTCTGTTACTACGGAGCTTCCTTTTTCCCTCTCTTTCTCTTTAGTCTTTGGCTTTTCTTTCTTTCTGTCTGACTCCTTCTCCCTATCCTTATCTTTATCCTTCTTTTTCTTGTCTTTCTCATGGCTATGACTCCTTTCCCTCCTCCTCTCCCTGTCTTTGCTGGAGGCCTTCTGCTTGTGTTTGCTGCTACGACTATGACTGCTGTCTCTGCCATCCCGGCTCCTTTTCCTCTCCTTATCCCTTTCTTTCTCCTTTTCTCTGTCTCTGCTGCGACTGCGGCTGTCTCTGGCTCTGGCTCTGCCCCTGTCTCTATCTCTATCTCTGGATCTGGATCTGGATCTACTCCTTCGGCTCCTGCGCTCCCTGGAATCACTGCGATCTTTCTTGTGGCGGCCTGATCTCTCAACGCTGCTCCTTCTCCTGTCCCTGACCTTCTCACTGCGATCGCTGCGATGCCTGTGGGAGCTGTGGCTGCGGCTGCGCCTGCGAGCCTTGTGTGAGGAGGACCGGCTACGCCGCCTCTTCCTTCGTGGGGAGGAAGACCGCGATGAACTGCGGGAAGATGCAGAGGAAGAAGACGAGGAGGAAGAGGTAGAACGGCGGCTGCTGTGGCTGGAGGTGGAGCGGGAGCTGCTGCTGTGACCGTTGGCTGGGGAATCACTGCCACCTCGCCCTGATCGCTCCTTCCCTCTACCCGAGTGCTTGCTCTCGCTACCCTCCTTCTCACTACGGGACCTACGTCTCTCTACCAAGGGCTCCGCCTCCCTCTCCTTTACTTCCTGTTTGTGTGGATTCTCTGGCTGGCCCTCATCATATTCCCCCTTTTCTCTGCTCAATCTCTCCTTTACCATGTCTTCTGTAGAAACACAACAAAGACTCAGGTCAAAAATAAACAAGAAGATATCAGCTGCTGTAAATACTAGAAACACACTACACAACTTTCATGATAATTACGGCTGCAAGTAGGGATGTCCACGATTAACCATTAAGCGGTTCACAGTGAAGAATATTTTTGACCGGATACACAAGTCTGTTGTGTTTTAAAAATTAAAAATCAAGCGGTTAGTTGTCGGTCAGGGGCTATCAAAAGCAAATTTAACTAAAACGGACATTCCTATTTGTACTCAAGAGATGTTCAAGATGAGACTAGTCAGCACTAACTTGGATCTTTTAACTAGTGCCATTGTGAGCATTTGCATAGATTGAAATATGTAAACCACCTAACTCCTGATTAAGTTGTTACCAACATCTTTCTTTGATGTTGGATTACTACTCCTACTTTAATTAAAACAGAAAAAGCCAATCAAGAATGTAAGCAGTTAAAATATGCAAAATAAAATTCTGAATATTATAGTTTCAGCATCATAGGACACAATCAAGCAATGTAGTGTGTTCCTAGTCTAAACTTGCAGAGACCCAGCAACATGTCTTACCACGTGCAAGCAGAGCCTCTTGTGCTTGTTTTTCTAGCAGCTGCTGCATCTCACGCTCTTTGCGGCGGAAAGCGTCCTGCTTCTCTCGGATACGGTGGCGCAACTCCTCCTCATCAGTGTCAGAAGATTCAGACCCTCGCACGCTGCGTTCATCCTCGTCGTCACTCTCATCTGAGCCATAGTCACCGAGCCCACCTGCCACAACAGAGCCCCCGGGTTGTTGAGTGTTGGTTAGGGCGAAGACATATTCTCACAATCAGGTTTCACTTTTAAAGCCCTCAATCCCAACCCCCCGTCCCACTGAAAGGCACTTAATCCTGTGTCATTTTCAACTTCACTCTGATAACGCTCTTAAAAACAAACTAATACATGTAGCCTGACAGAAAAACTAATAGAAATACTTTGAATTCAAGGGCATGCTTCTATCTTCTGAGATTCCACTTCTTTTAAGTGTTGTGCTAATAGCGTTTCCCATGTTCCTACCCAACATAAATTCATAAGTTTAAGTATTTTCCTTTCCACCCCCCCCCCAGTGACAGAAAAAGGGATACTCACTGAGACCAGTCAGAGAAGCCAGTGCACTTGACTGTGCCAGCTGTTTTGCAGGAGCTTTGATTCACATCAACAACAGGAACAACATGTTAAAACACATACTGCCATTTTCTCAAAGGCAAGAGAGTCGCTAGAGAAGGGGGTCAAAGATAAAGCACTATTCACAAGAGCTGTCATTGGTAACAAGAGAAGAAAAAAAAAAACAAAACAAAAAAATAGAGAAAAGAGAAAGGGTTAACAAACACAATTCTGTCAAACAATCAAAGTCAAACAGTCGGACAGGAGGGAAAGAACCAATCTGTACTAATGCACAGTCGCTTCAATGGAGGAAGTCACTAATTCTCACTCAGTGCTGAGAATTATTCAGTCATATCATAAAGTCTTTGAGCAGGACCTTGTACCATGTACCAGAAGAGCAGATTTTCAAATACTGTTTGTATAAAGCATTGCTCTGCTCTCTCTCCTT